GCTGGCTAATCCAGAAGATTAGGATTTGAGAGAGCTCAACGAATGCATGCACTTGCGCCATTGCAAACGATTTTGAGCCATGTCGTTCAAGGTCTCTAACTATTGGTAACTTTCGTCTCGCGGACCCCAACCAGGCAGCCTACATCTACCAACATGACTCAGTCCACTTGTCAGTGACTTCATGGATTTGTGCCATGTTTTGGTCTGGCCGCCCCTAACTTTTTTCCAAGTTACTCCTACACTACAAAACACCGCTCGTCAAGGCAGTCGGTGGTTAGGCATGAAAAACAATCGAATAGAACTAGAAAGGATGGATCAGGTTGGAAAATGCCGGTCGGTGACCTCAGCTCCATCGGGGTGAACAGGCGCAAGTAAGTATGTTCTAAGTCACAATGAGCTACTTGAAAAAGGATTACTCAAATTATCATAATCGTTTTAAGTTGCATTTTTTAAATCTTTTTGTGATCTTCTCTTCATGTCTTATTTTTTAAGTTAATCTGATGGGTTATTGTGTAATCTAATACTTCAAGTTAATTCCGCTTGTCAAATTTATCTGTATTAACACACAAAAAAGTGTTACTTTGACATCATAAATCGATCGCTGTTAGACCACCACTAGAAACCTAGAAGCATTGGACGGTTGTCACATCTAGGTATGGGACTGAATAGCAATGCACATCAAGGAATCCTGGTACTCTCAGGATTCGAACCCACGACCTTCAGACAGATCGAAGTTAGTCATGACCACCGTTGGATGATGCGTGAGACCGAAGATCCTGGATTCGAATCCTGCGAGAAGCCCGAGTCGTGGATGCACACCGTTGATGAGTCCCATAGCAGGATAAACCGACCGTCCAGTGCTTGTAGGTTTCAAATGATGATCTAACACTGACCGATTAATGATTCGAAACTGACTCAACAATCTCCACAACCCTATAATGCAAAATTTGTTAGTCAAACACTTTTTAAATATCATATAAATATATAAGAATACAAGAAATTTTATTTTCTGAACTGTTTACTGAATTTATTTTATGATTTTACCATTATCTATATACTAAATAAACATAATTCTGTTCTTAGATACGTTACTCAACGAAATACTCATTGATTTCTATTTACCAAGGTAAATAAAATTTATCTGGTCTCAAAAACACTTTATTCTAAGGTTGGTTTGTTCCTGAATAATCGATGAGCAACACATGACCTTGAACTTTTGAGAGAGATCGTACATCTTCATCATTTCCGAACAGAATTCAATCCTGTCTCATACATATAGCAGAAGTCATAAAATTGTGAACATTTAGAAGGAATTCACGACACTACTGTCTCTTCCTTGGCCCGATATAACTGAATCTTGTTGTTATTATTAGCATTATTTTCACATCGTGTATTTGTTGATCACTCTTCTTCGCCTCTTTCCGTGCATAAGCTTCATTATCTGATTACTTTTACAGACTTTTTATTACGTAATCTTAATAGAGCTTTGTGATGATTATTCTAAGTCTACCTATCCATGTTTGACCTACTGCTACTGCCAATGTTGAACTAATGATAAAATTGTTTGTCATGGTATTTTATCATTCTTACCACTAAGCGTACACCAGTAAGTAGTGTTCCTACTGTAGTGAACGACAACACAGGGGGGGCAACCGGATTGTATTAAACGAAAATTACAGAGTTACTCAGTAAAATCGGAAAACCATATCGTAAATCGTTCATTTGCAAAATATCAGTTCATCATCCATCGAACTGGACTGTTCCTGTTGCAAAACATCAATCCATTGTCACTACTATTCATGCGTTTCATACAAATTCCATTGTGTTCCCACCACTCTTCCTTTCTTGATCTTCCTCCCATCTTCTGTGGCCAGACATTACGCTGACACTCACGTCATATACTACTTATAAGTAGCTGGCACCACACTTCTATCAAAACGTACTTTTAGCTAATTATGTGTAGCTACGTAATTATTTTCATTTTAATGATTGACGCATTAATCGCCTTAATCAAAAGTTGAAGCATTTCATAAATGTTTATTCACGCCTCATTATATTGAGTTGGCTCGCCTGCCTTCTCCAGCTCCCTTCGCTTCGCTTCGCTGTGACGCTCTATATTCTCATGTCTGTCTGCATGAACAATCGAATCCTTACTTGGCTTCTTATTACCACCCTCGCACATATACGGAGTTCACATCGCTAAAAGTAATGAGTCCTGCTTCGAATTCAACGCAGCCAGTGAATGGTACACAAGATCATGATACCTCATATTACGTAAGTGTATATACATATATATCGATCTGTCCTAGACTTACCCTTCACCTGCTTCAAACAATTCAGTGACATCATCATCAACTAGTCGTTGATCGACACTGCCTTGAACTACTGTTGTTGTTGTAGTTGGTGTCGGTGTTGTTGTCGAAGTATCAGTTTTGTTCGGATTATCTTCACATCTTTCACCTTTTAATAATTGTTCCATAAGTAATCGATACGATCCTTTTGCTTCTTTCATGATATCTATTTGTAATGATCGTTGTCGATAACCTAAGTATAAGAAATTTTTTGTAATGAGTTGGTCAGTAAGTTTTAATCATTGATGGAAACATTAGATAAAGTTAAGATCTGATTTCTGAGCCTTTCCAAATAACCTTAAGTTAAATCTACATATCAATTTGAATACAAGAGGAAAAATGCGAAATTAGCAAAAATGATTAAATCTAAAGTTGTTCGGTGGGGATTTTAAAAAATTGAGTTACACATGACTTATTGTAGAGTCATAATGCCCCCCGTCAATCCGCGGTGGGCTGTGCATGGAGTAGTGGAGTGCTCCTAACATCTAGAAATTTGGAGGCTAGGGGGTAAGATCTTGCGGGTCAAACAGTTCTGGCTGGTTGTTACTCAGGTTGATCAGGAGTCCACTCTAACCACAGAGACGATATGGATGACTTGTTAGACGGTGGGTTGTCCAGGGAGGATCGGCAAAGCAAGGGCTGCATTTCTACAGTTGAAAAATATCTGGAACTCCAAAATAAATATCAATCAACACCAAAATCAGGATTTTCAATACAAATGTTAAGACGATTCTGCTGTATGGAGCGAAAACTTGGAGAACTACCAAAGCCATCATCAAGAAGATACAAGTATTTATGAACAGTTTTCTTCGCAAAATACTTTGGATTCGTCGGTCAGACACTGTCAGCGACAACTTACTTTGGGAGAGAGAGCAAACCAGATTCCAGTGAAGAAGCGGTGGAAGTGGATAGGACATACTACGAAAATCACCTAACTGCGTCACAAGACAAGCCCTCACATGGAGCCCTCAAGGTCAAAGGAGAAGAGGAAGGTCAAAGAACACATTACGCCGAGAAATAGAGAAAGACATGAGAAGAATGAAGGAAAACTGAAAAGAACTGGAAAGGGAAGCTCAGGACAGAGTTGGTTGGAGGAAACTGGTGGATGGCCTATGCTCCATTGGGGGTAACAGGCGTAAGTAAGTAGGTAAGGGATGTCCAGGTCGACGTCTCGTATCACAGAAATAAGAGAACACATTTTGGGATGAATTCAAGAAGTATCAGTTATCAATTTCGTTTCGCAGTAATGACCTCACTCATAAATATTTGTTTTAACAGTTTCATAACTTCAACAATGATATCGTATGTTTCATTGTTTATTCTAGAATATTCTTGTGATTCAACCTACAAATACTCATATCTGGCAAGTAAATATAATCTTTTCTGTTCATTGTGACTGTTTTCATTAAACCAGGCATAGCAATGACATCAAGACATCTTTTAAAACATGACACAGAAATGTTCAGCGACAAATTCTGAGGTTTATTGAAGCTTTTGCCTATTCGTAAATTTAAAATCTCCTTATGCGTACACAAACAGTTTGTCATAATATTGAAATGATTCTGGTAATGTTTGAGATATTTTATAGCCTAGATTAGTGTGACGGTTTCGTATTCTTTCTGTACAGTGTTTATTTTCGCAATGATCGCCTCATGTTTAGTCGTGCTTCTATTTTTCAATTGACCTTTTGTTAAATGTTCCTATTAAAAAATGCCTTGACAAGGGTACGCATGTGTGTGACCGCATTGTTCGGAATGTATTTGGCACGCCAATAAATGATACCTTTTTTCAGATCGACTAAATCGTCTCATTGTTCTATTAAAAATCTCTTTATTAATCTTTACTGATGAAAATGTTTCTAACATATAAAGTAGGTACATTGGTGCCCTAATCAATAATAATTCCATTAAAAGGGGGGGGGGACGAGTGTGGTGCTGTGGTGCGAACTACTTATAAGTAGTATATGACGTGAGTGTCAACGTAAAGTCTGGTAGCATAATATGGGGGAAAGATCAAGAAGGGAAGAGTTAGAAAACAATGGAATTTGTATGAAACGCATGAATAGTGACAATGGATTGATGTTTGGCAACAGGAACAGTCCAGTTCGATATGATGAACTGATCTTTTGCAAATGAACGATTTACGATATGGCTTTCCGATTTTACTGAGTAACTCTGTAATTTTCGTTAAATAAAATTCGGTTGCCCCACCTGTGTTCTCATTCACTACAATACTATTGTATATAGGAGTTCTCATTATACAGTTATGGAGATTGCAGTTTTCTTATTGAAATCATGAACTAATCAGTGTTGGAGCGCCATTAGAAGCTTTGATGTACTGGACGGTCCTTTCTTCCCGGTGCGTGACTCATCAGCAGTGCACATTCACGACACGCAGGATTCGAACCCAAGACGCTTAACCTCTGGACCACTGAGCAGGTATCTAATGTGCAAGACCAAGGCTCTTGGTTCAAATCCTTGCTCTATTCTTAAAAAAATTATCAGGGTGAACAAAATTGCAGGAAATTAACGATGAATCAATCAACTGTGATCAGTGTCATTTGTGGTGGTGTTTTGTTCTCTGAACTGGATGTTTTGGTTGTGGAGCTTTCATTGTTCTTCTACTGAAAAACATCATCAGCACAAACTTCAGACAGAGAAGTGAAGTATTCCAATTCCTCACGTTTGACCCATAGAATGTTCTGTTGACCTCGATCGTGATTAGTTGTTTTTGACCTTGAACCTGCTATTGTTTACACGTTTATTTAATTTTATCGACATTTTGACCTGTTTCTTGATCCTATGTCACCTATGATTTTCCTGATTTGTTGATAAATCGGGTCAACATGGATTTGTTTGTTGATTGCTGATTGACCCGAGTGTAAAGGTTCTAAAAATTCTATGGTGTTTTTTGTCCTCTCCCTACCCAGTATTTCCAGAATATTCCAATTCAATATGTGTCCATTCTTGTCGGTGTGTATTGATCTAGGCGAAGGATTGTCATGGCGTTTGACCGCTAATCGGTGTTCATGTAAACGAAGCTGAACAGGCCATCCACTTTGTCCTATGAAGTGTTTTGACTGGAACAATGTCGAAATACTGGATAGAGGGAGGAGGGAGAACACTAGAGAATTTTTAGAAGCTTGGTACTCAGGTCAATCAGCAATTAAGAAATACATTGATATTGACTCAATCTATCAACCAATCAGAAAAATCATAGAAGACAGGATCAAGAAACAGGTCAAAATGTCGATACAATCAAAACAAAGGTGCAAACAACGACCAGTTTCAGGTCAATGCAACCAATCAAGATGAAGGTTAACAGAACAAGCTGCCGGTTAAACGTGGGTAAGCTCGAATACTAAAAATCTATCTGCAATTGTGCTCAGTAGAAGAACAATCAAAGCTCTACAACTAAGACATCTGCAGCTCCCAGAACGAAACACCACCACCACAATCATCCACTTGAGCTACAAATTTCCTCCACCATTTCAAACTTAGTATCATTATCTAAAACATACACACACACACTAAATATCCCATAACTTATTTTTATTTTACTAAAAGAAATCTACTCACCTTTAGGATCTTCTTTCATTAAGACTGAGGAAAGATAAAGAATAGAAATAAATAGAAAAACAGATTATGTTTTAACATGAAAAGAACAATGAATTATCGAAATCGGAAGAGATAAATTCATTTTCCGTCTTGTTTGGTCAACTTTAGGTTGATGTAATCATCCGGTAAAGTACTGGATGGTTGACTTGCCCTGGTTTGGGACTCATCAATAGTGTACATCCAGGAGTTCCACTATTCACAGGATTGCAATTCAGGATCTTCTGTCTTGCACATTAGATACTGGACAATGAGTCGACATCTAAAGGTGTTAATGTCTGATTTCGATCAATCCACGGTCCTGTGTAATCTCTTACTCACTGTCTTCGGTGAGCACCGCTCAACGGTATTAATGGTGTTATACAGAAATGGTGAACAGCTGTTAGTTTGATTGAAAAAAATACATCAGTGACTAGCTTCATGAATCGATTCTAGTGAGAAGCCGTGACCAGTGGAGTTCAACCCTGTTGGGTGTCGGCAGTAGCTACTGAAGAAAGTGGGTGAGGTCGTGCAAAAATCCTTAGATTGACCAGAGCTAGTTCGAATCTTGCGAATAGCAGGAATCATGGATTCGCACTGCTGATGAGTCCCATACTAGGACGAAACTACCGTCCACGATCTCGTGCAACCTCATCCATTCGTTTTGGCTGTCACTGTTTCACACCCGAATAAGATTGATCACCAATGGTCAGGATTTCTTACTAGATTTCAGAGAAACATCCCTACGGAGTGAGTGATGAATTGATTCGTGATAGAGTAGGTTGTAGAAATTACTGGTCGGTGACCTATACTCCATTAGGATTGACTGGCTTACGTAAGTAAGTAAATAACTAGGTATTCTGATCTTCATCTCCATCTATTTCCTTAATGAAAAGCTGCTAATCACAACGACTTTTGGTCAAGTGAACATTGTTGGTTCACAGATTGAAGTAATCATATATTTGCTTAAAATCATTCAAACTAACTTAAAAACATCTGCATTACGGGGTTGTGAAGATTGTTAAGTTTTTTTTGAAACCATGAATCGATCAATGTTAGACCACCATTAGAGACCTGGAAGCATTGGACAACCGTTTCATCATGGTGTGGGACTCCTCACCAGTGCGCATCCACGACTCCTGCACCCCACACGATTCGAACTTAGGACCTTCGGTATTGTAGGCGGACGCCTAACCATCGGACCACTGAACCGGTATCTAAGGTTGTTAATGTCCAACTTGATCAATTCACGGAGTTGCGCAACCTCATACACAGTCTTCGGTAGTAGTTACTGTCTACACACTTGAACAGGTTGAACTTCACTGGTCATGTCTTCCCACTAGAACTCGGAGAAGATTCCTCACGAAGCTAGTCACTAGTGAGCACAGGTAATTTGCATTAAAAATTATCTGACCAAAAATAGAAATAGAAAGAAGAAACAACAACTCACCTTGATCATAAGCTTTTTTCAATAAATAAATCTCTGTATTATTACAACAACAAATTATATCAGTCATGATTTGATAATTTGATCCAAGATTTTTCATTCCTTTGTATAAATCATTTGCTAAAATTTCCATTGGATTACGAAATAACGTTTTAACGAGACTATCATAACTGCCAAGTAATACAGAACCAATATGTTCAGTGATATCCTATTTTTTTAAAAATAACAATAGGAAAAGAAAGGGTAAGGTATGCATGTCAGTAAAAATGTTAAATACGAAAGCTGCATTACGGGGTTGTGAAGATTGGTAAGTTACACATTTTTGAAATCATCATGGTTAGGCGTTCGCGCACAATAGCGAGGGTCCTGGGTTCGTATCCTGTGAAGTGCAGGAGTCGTGGATGTGTACTGCTGAGGAGTCCCATACCAGGACGAAACGGTCGTCTCTCAGTGCTTCCAGGTTTCTTCGAATGGTGATCTAACATTGATTGATTCATGGTTTCGAAAATGTGTAAATACGAATATATTTCGTCTGTTAGCCTTAATGCAGCGTAGCTCCCCGCTCCCAGAATGTGTCTTTATGCTTTGAAATCAAGCAAATTACCTTTAAGATACTATAAGGAGAAAAGATTCTATCTGGAGTGATGTTCAGTACACAGCAATAGAGGTTTTTTTGTCAATGAAGCTAACCTATCCATCGATTGACTTACTATAGAGAGTATGATTTGAGAAAAGTAACATCGTGCGGCACATCACTGACAATTTGTCGACTAGTCAACATTCTCATTCAGTGTTTCATAGAGTTTAAATACCATTTGCATTGAAGTCATGAGTCACCGTTGGAAGATTGGAAGCAGTGAGAAGACTGAGGCAGGTGCGGTAGATTCTATTTTGCACATTTACACTCAGTCAATTAAAAACGAAGACATTACATTGAACACTCTATTTGCACACCATCTTTGAGTCCTGACTTCCAAGGCTCCAGCCTTCTTCCATTCCTGCTGTTGCTTCCTTTACTTCCTGTTGGTACTCCATTTACTTCTTGCTTTTGCTCCATTTGCTTTCCGTTTTCCTCTTCTCACCGTGAGACTTCTTTCACGTCCCTTCTTATACTACTTATATCGTTCGTATAAGTAGCACACAACACAGCAGTCTACAGTAGTTTCGATGTATTATGGGATTGAATTAGCGATGCACATCCACGAACCCCCGAGTTGGTGTCAAACCTAGGACTATTGGTTTCATACATGAACGCTTCACCTCAAGACCAGCGACTCAGCATCCAATGATACTCATGTCTAACTACAATCAATCCATCATACTGAGCAACCTTCATCCATGCACTCATATCCGACACGAATTGAACTATTTCGACACAACTTCTCACTAGTAATCCAGGAATATATCATGCAGTTAGTCACTAGTGAACATATAATAGTTATTAATGAAGGGGCTACGCATAGATCGTTCTATTTTCATAGTTTAAAGTGTTTTCTAATTAAAATCATTCAAATTTACCATATAGATCAAATCAGTATTTTAAATCATCATAACATGTTAGCGAAATCACATTATGTTGAACAAATTGAATTCCGGACACTTTAAAATTCACTATTAGTTATTACCTCAGTTAGTAAATCAATTTAAACCATACAAGAAATAATTCAGATAGTATAATTAAGTGAGTTTAAAAGAAATTTTATCATACCAACATCTGAATGACACATAATTTCAGTACTATACAAGTATGAATGATTTTAGAAATAAGATCATTGTAGTATGTGTTAGGGATGTTAGATCCTTAGAACTCACTTGGAAAAGGTCCTAGGTTTGTTAATTTATTTCTGAAATTTTGAATATTTATGTTTTCGCGCCAGGAGACGCTTAGTTGACCTTCGGCTTGTATTTCCCACTCGGAAAATCCTTGAATGTCATTGGTTTACGGATTATTTTAGTTTGCTATTTTGTGGCTCTCCCATTGACGTTTCTATCATTGTATAAATTAGCTTGATTTCTGTGCTTGTTAACCTTGTATTTTCTAGGTGCTTGTAGAATACAATTTCAACGCCTTATCAAGACTTCTTGATGTAGTTAGCCGGGGCTGGGACAAACGGATTAGAATAGCCTATCATGTCACTGAGTCATTGCTCTTCTTCCGTTTACTAAAAGTAAGGTGAACTCGCAATAACATTCAAGCATATCAATATGACTAGGTCATTTGGTTGGCATGCTTTTGTGGTATGATTCTGAGGATATTGTTCGTATTTATTTTGGTAACATCGTAAACTTTTTTAATTGTTTAGTGATATGAGAAGTGCTCCTGTTACTTATCTTCTCCATAATTCATGAAAGAGTTATGACTGGGAACGTTAGATCCCCAGAACTCACTTGGAAAAGGTCATGATTTTGAATTTTTTATGTTTTCGCGCGTAGGTTGCTTAGTTGGCCTTGAGATTACAGTTCTCATCCTTGACTGTCATTGGTTATTTTTATGGCTCTCCGAAGTCCGTTTCTATCATGTATAAATAAGCTCGATTTGTGTGCTTGTCGACCTGGTATTTCTGGGTGCTTTTAGAATACACTTTCTACTCCTTATCAAAACTTCTTGATATAGTTAGCAGGGCTTTGGATCACAGATTAGCATAGCCTATCTTGTTACTGCATCATCTGTCTTCGTTCCGTTTGCCAAGTAAGGTGAATTCATAATAGTTTGAAGCATACCAATTGACGAGCATATCAGTTGTGTCAATTGATGTTTTTCATTGAAATGATGAATCAGCCATTGTTAAACTACCGATAGAAACGTTGAGGCGCTGGACAGCCGTTTCGTCCAGGTATGGGACTTATCAGCAGTGCGCATTTAAGACTCTCGCTACCAGGATCTCTGGTGTCGCGCGCGAGCACTTAATCTCTGAACTACTAAGCTGCCTTCCAACAATGCTAATGTCTAACTTTGATCATCCAGAAGGTCCTTGGTTCAAATCCTGTGAGTAATAGGATTCATGGATGTGCACTGCTGATAGGTTCCGTACCAGGACGAAATGACCTTCCAGTACTTTCAGGTTTCTTCTTATAGAGATCTACCATTGATCAATTCATGATTTTAAAAATATTTTACACTTTAGATAAATAAAGTTGCATCCAAGTCAAACAAATAAGAAATAATACTTATTCAAGGAAGCTTACTGTAGTATAGTTTGGTGTATTTTTACTCTCAACTAATTAAAACAAAAATACTAAATGGAAAAAAAGTAACCTTAATCACCCAATATTATTATTGATTTTTAAACTTTGGATACCTTATCATATAAACGTTTATATGCTTCTTGAATAGCTAAACGTTGTTGCAAACTTCTATGACCAATTATTTCATTGATGACATCTTCATCAGGATCTAAGATACAACAATAAATACAAGTTAAATTGTGAAGGATTTTCATAATATTTGAAATTACGTATCATCAAATTAAAAAGCGTTTTGAAAATCTGCATTACGGGGTTGTGAAGATTGTTAATTTTTTTCTAAACCATGAATCGATCACTGTTAGACCACCATTAGAAACCTGGAAGCACTGAAAGACGGCCGTTTCTTCCTGGTATGGGAATCCTCAGCAGTGCGCATCCACGACTATTGCACCCCGCAGGATTCGAACCCAGGACCTTCGGTGTTGTGCGCAAACGCCTAACCACAAAATGGCGGTCTAACAACCTTCAAACATGATATATTTTGAAAATTTCTGCACATTCTATCAGTGAAAAGTTGAGAAAATACTCTTTTATTGTATTGTAGGTAAGGAATAGTGATATTTGATGATTAGGCAACATAAAGAACTGGTTGGTATTAATTGCTCCTGTAGTAATGTAAGTAAGTCCATCTGTTCAGTTTGCCATACGCATTAGCACAAGGAGGAAGTTGTCAGTTCAAATCCCATAATGGTTGATGTAGTAGAAGTATTAGCGGTTATGGAGAAGATTAGCGTTCGAAGAAATTGCTCAAGAAGTTTAATTCAGTTAGATAAATTTAGAAAGGGAAAGATATATATGATGACGAAGATTAGAATTTCCTAGAACGTAATGAATGAATACACCTGCGCCATCGCAAACAATTCTGAGCCATGTCTTTCGCATAAGGTATCTAACCATTGGTAACTTTCACTTCGCGGACACTAACCAAGTAGCCTGCACCTACCAATATGACTCATTCCAACTTTATGGATTTGTATGGAGAAATGAGAAAGCATATTTTGTGAGATAGTACCATTTCGTGCTTTCTCGTCAGTCACATACAAGCAACATGTTATTTGTGTAAATACAGTTTTGAAGATAAGGTCAAAATCGGTCAAAAAGACCGATTCAGTCCATATCCCACTGTATTTACCAATTCTCATGTAACTGCGGAGAAAGTTACTTAGGGAGGACAGATCGTCGATTGGAAGACAGGATAGGGGATCATATTCCAAAATGGCTAATCAAATCCATGATTCATAAACCTAGCCCATCATCTCAAAATCGATCAAGGAACCCAGCCTCGTCCATTGCAAAATACCTAATGATGAGTGGTCATCAAATTGACCCAAAATCAGCCTTCAGAGTTGTGACATGTCATCAAAACCCACACACACTGAAACTACTCGAAGCTATCTTGATTGGTCGGAAAAGTCCAACTTTATGTGTTCAAAAACAACTGTATGTTGACCTTTGTTTACCATGGTTCTAGTGAGTGAATGTCATGCTAAATAAGAAATTTTGACCTTATCTTCAAAACTGTATTTACACAAATAACATGTTGCTTGTTTGTGACTGACGAGAAAGCACGAAATGGTACTATCTCACAAAATATGTCTTCTTATTTCTCTATTCATATTTATCAAAGGGAACCACTGTTTTGAATATATGGATTTGTGCCATGTTTTGGTTTGGCCGCCCCTAGCTTACTTCCAACCTACTCCTACACCACAAAACATTAGCTTTTGGAGGCAGTCAGTGGATGGGCATTCATAACACATATCCTAAACACCTCACCTGATGAAGTTTCACCACTTCATCTATTGATTTGCTGTTCCTACCTAGTACTCGTCTCCTAACAACAGTCCATCAGCTGACATAAATGATTCTTAGAAAAGAATCAGAACAATAAAATGTTTCGTTTACAATGATTTCATTATCTTTCTAGGCGTTGACAAATTTTCAAACTGAACCGATCTATAAAATTTTTACGCTGAAACGGTTGTTTAGAGAAATACTGAAAGCTGTACAATTATACTGTGCAACTTTATTAAGGAATTTGTTAGTTTTCTCTTGGTCTCAAAACTTGAGATTTTGAACTACATTTTAACAAGATTTATCTATCAAGATGTAAATATTTCAATGCTACGATATATTCCATACTTTTTCTCCGTTTGATATTGAAAATGAAATGAAAATTGCTATAATCTCACTAAATAAAACTAGATAGCGACAGTATTCTCATCTCACAGTTTGAATTTGTTTTCTTCAAGAATCGTAGAGCGTTGAATGAAAGATTTGTTCAAATTATAGTTTGATAAGAATTATACCTTGAGATGATGGAGAAAAATTGTAGCCCAAGCGGGAAGATTGTGATGGAGTTTCGTTCTCTGAGCTGAGGATGTTATGGTTGTAAAGCTTTCATCATTTTCCTTCTACTAAAACAACACCATCAGCACAAACTCCAAATGGAATTAACGTTGTTTACAACCAAAACATTCTCCACTCAAATGACGAAACTCCATCAAATAGAATTACATCTTATTTTGGGGCACAGTTTTGGAGGTTTGCGTTTTTACACATTTGAAATCATTAATCAATCATCATTGTTAGACCACCATTAGAAACCTGGAAGCACTGGACGGATGCGCACTGCTGAGGAGTCCCATACTAGGACGAAACGGCCGTCCAGTGCTTCCAGGTTTCTAATGGTGGTCTAACAATGATGATTGATTAATGATTTCAAATGTGTTATATCTTATTGCCAACTGAAATCCGGCGAGTATTTCAAACATACATATATGAACAGACATACTACATATAATATCCCATTGAATATCCATCTAGCTAGAAATAAATATCAACATTTCAGAATATCTCTCGATCAAAGAATAAGTATCTGTATTCATGTCTATGAATTATGTTACTGATATGTAGTCAGATGATTAGATTACTATGGAAAAATTTGAACTCAACTGTCTCATGAAACAATGGAACTACATAATTACAACTGTGTTTTTTTGCATAAAATTTAACTTGAAGTCAACCAGCGGCGTAAGGAACATAGTGCCTGTAGACTAGGAAGCTAGCGTGTGATGATTCCTAACTTCCATAGAAGCTTATTCCACAAAACGATATGGACATCATCAACACATCGGCTTCTCAAATTTATTAGCCATTTGCATTTGGATCAGTAAGTCAAAAGTTTCATAGAGAATGGTTACTTTAAATTTTATTTCCATCATTGTAACGACTTCGGTCATGGAACTTTTTAAAATACTTCACCATAGATTTCCGACTTATCAGTTACTACCAATAGACTTTCTCTAATTTGAATTCATTTTTAAACAAACTACTAAATTATAAAATAAGTAACAAAATGACAAATTGTAAAAATTGTCCAGTTAAGCAGTAAATCACTTACTTATAATTTTGATAGATTTATTTATCCGTTCTGCATCTTTTTCAGGATTAATCACAAGTGGATATTTAATAGTTGGACGTGGTTTAATTTGTTTACTAAAATGAAATAACATAACAAATGTAATTTGATTGAATAATGAATTTTAATTATGAGTTGAAATTATTAATATGAAATAAACTTATGATGAATTTAAAGTACTAATCGATTTGAATATTTTTATGATAAATTGTATTCTTATCTGAAAATATAGTACAATGTAATAAAAATATGTACTTCTGATAATTTCAATTATCCTTCAGATTGATAACTTTCAAATAGTTTAATCTGAATTGCATATGTGTGGTGCGAGCTATTTATAAGTAGTATATGACGTGAGTGTCAACGTAATGTCTGGCAGCAGAAGATGGGAGAAGATCAAGAAAGGAAGAGTTAGAACACAATGGAATTTGTATGAAACACATGAATAGTGACAATGGATTGATGTTTTTCAACAAGAACAGTCCAGTTCGATATGATGAACTGATATTTTGCAAATGAACGATTTACGATATGGTTTTCCTATTTTACCGAGCAACTCTGTACAATATACTGTACATATGTAAGCACTCAACTTAGTCTCCAGTCAAGCTCGAACTTGGGATACTCAAGGCCACAGGGAGAGAGAGAGAACAAAGAACAAAATATCCTGAGAATTGGAGATAGATGTGAGAAGAATGAAGAAAAAGTGGATAGAATTGGAAAACAAGACTCGTGACAGAATAGGCTGGTCAGTCAGTCAGTTTCAGCGTAGAACTTTGTTCGAACTTTCATCGTTTCAGGTTGCCATGCCGCATTAGCACACAGATGCAATTGTCAATTCAAATCCCATATAAGTAGACGTATTAGTAATAATCGAAGAGATTAGGGTTCGAAGACATCGTTCAAGAAGTATCATTCAGTGAAATAATTTTAGAAAGAGAAAGATAGATATGATGAAGAATCCAGAAGATTAGAATTTGAGAGAACACAATGAATAAATACACCTGTGCCATCGCAAACGATTTTGAGCCATGTCACTCAGGGTCTCCAACCATCGGTGACTATCGTCACGCGAACATCAACCTAGTAGACGACATCTACCAATATGTCTGAGTTCACTTTTCAATGACTACATGGATTTGTGACAAGTTTTAGTCTGGCCCCCCTAAATTTCTTCCAACCTACTCCTACACCACAAAACATAGCTCGTCGAGGCAGTCGGTGGTTAGGCATACGCAAAACATGTCCTAACCACCTCAACTGATGAAGATCCTCTAATTCATCAATTGATCTGCTTGTTGGTGACCTATGCTTCAGATATTATTGAAATGAAAAAAGAAAGTTTTATAAATCATGTACAATTATTTTTTCCTAAAGTAACAAATTTACAATATGAATAGATCATTTTATACTCACACATACATACACACAAGAACCCGGAAATCATACAATTCATTTAAAGAGCAAATAAAATTGTTCAACTTTGATGTCAAATCATAGGTATCATTTCATAATGACTATTTATATTACAGCGAATTACATAGTTGCCTTTATTTATGATCAGCTAAACATTGAAAATCTTTAACACTAACATCTAAATTATTAGTTTGTACAAAATTTCAAATATTCACAAATCATGGTTCTCATTTAGTCAGAAGACGGTGTTTAGAATCTTCCCCTAATTATATAAACAAACTAATAATACAGTTTCAATAGTGAATTTTCAATTGTTTAAAAACTTAAAAAACATAACAAAGCCATTCTGATGTAATAATAATAATTATTACTTATCAATCACTTACTTAGATTCCATAATATTCCAAAAAAATGAAATTATAGAAAACTGACAGGTAGTGGTAGTAGTAGTAGTAGTAGTAGTAGTAGTATACTAACAAATTACACAATTAAACTCGTTTGATCAATGTGTTCAATATATATATATATAGGTCTGTAAAAGTTGATTACTTTTTTATTACTCTTAAATGTTCAATGTACTTTCGATTCTTTTGTTCTCAATTTGGTATTATTTTCTTCTTCTTATTATTATCATCAATTTCTTGAAATAATTTCTATTTTTTTTTGATTCACGCGAGTAATTATTGTGTTTTTTCAAGTTCTTGTGATTGGTTTTTCTTTTGTTTAAATGAAGTTGACTTTCTGTCACGTGAATGTATTGATTGATTACCAAGTGAGAATATTGACAATTGAATAGAGAGAGAATAGTAATGTGAATTTTTTGTTCTTTTTGAAGTACATTTTTTATGATCAGATGATAAAAAATCAACTTTGTTGAAGATTAAGATAAATAGATGAGATTGTGCAGAAGGAGTTTACGTTCAGGAGAATAAAATTTGAGTCAGCTATGTGGAGAAATTCAAATACTTCACTACTTCTGCACTTGAAGTTTGTTCTACTCTGAAGTGGACATTTACTCAAACATTATCTGGTCTTTTAAAAAAGTATAATTTACCATAAAATAGTAGAACGAATTAATAAATCCATCAAACTAATAAGTAAATGATGTCTGCTTAACTCCATAATTTTTACAATTTGTCATCTTGTTACTTATTTTCAATTTAGTAGTTTGTTTAAAAATGCATTCAAATTAGAGAAAGTCTATTGGTAGTCATTGACGAATCTGAATATTTGATGAAGTATTTTGAAAAATTGCATGACCAAAATCATTACAATGATGAAAATGAAATTCATACTAATCACTCTCTATGAAACACTTGACTTACTGATCCAAATGCAAACGGCTAATAAAGTTGAGATGCCGATGTGATGATGTTTGTGTTGCTTTGTGGAATAAGGTTCAATGAGAATTGGTAACAATGATACACTAACTTGGTAGTCTAGAGGGCACTATGTTCCTTGCATCGACTGTTAACCCTAACTTACATTTTTGTTAAGAACAAAACAGTTGTAATCATGTGGTTCTAATGTTTCATGAGACAGCTGAGTTTAAACTGTTCCATGATGATAATCTGACTACATTTCAGTAACATCAAAATTTCATAACTATCTATACGGTTACATTCTTTCCGATCGAGAAATATTGTGGTAGTGTTTGGTTCTCTGAGGTGGGTGTTTTGGTTGTGGAGCTTTCATTGTTCTTCTACTGAACAACATAATCAGCACAATTGAAGATAGAAAAAGTGATGTATTCGAATTTCTCCATGTTTGACCTGTAGCTTGTTCTGCTAACCTCAATCTTGATTGGTTGTTGTTGACCTTAAACCTGTCGTTGTTTACACCTTTATTTTGATTGTATCTCCCTTTTGATCTGTTGCTTCATCCTATGTCACGTTTGATTTTCCTGATTGGTTGCTAAATTGGTTCACTGTTGATGTGTTTGTTGATTGCTGATTGACCTGAGTTCCAAGCTTCCGAAAAATTCTCTAGTGTTCTTTGTCCTCCCCCTACCCAGTATTTCCACATTGCCCCAATCAAATGTGTGTCCATAATTGTCGGTGTGTATTGATATAAGCGAAGCGTTGTCGTGGCGTTTGACTGCTAATTGATGTTCACGTAAACGAAGCTGAAGAGGCCATCCACTTTGTCCTATGTAATGTTTTTCACAGTTTGAGCAATTTATTTTGTAGATGATATTTGGTTTTTCTTCCTTTGTCATTCTGTCCTTTTGGTCTACATAGGATTGATTGAAGTGATTCTGTTGGTTTGTGTGACACACCTATTCAAAACGGTTTCAGTAGTCGTGCCGTATGTTCCGATATGTCTTTGATGTATGGTAGGATGATGCGTTTATTTGTTCCTGTGCTTGATTTCACTTATGATGATGGTTTTGGTTGATGTTTTTTGATGAAGTTGCGTGGATAGCCGTTCTTTTGGAAGATAGTCATCAGGTGTTTTTCCTCGTTTTTTAATGTTTCGTGTGTGCTGCAGTGTGTCTTCGTTCTCTTGAACTAAGTTTGTATGCAGTTGATTTCGTGGGTTCTTGGGTTGTTGGTATCTTAGTTGAGAATCACGTCTGTGTCGGTTGGTTTCTGAAATACTTGAGTTTCCAGTTTTTTCCCGCTAATTCTGATGATTAGTACATCCAGGAATGATAGACTGTTGTTTGATTCCCTTTCTATCGTGAAAGCTCCACAACCAAAACACCCAGGTCAGAGAACCAAACACCATCACCACAATAATCATCCACCTGAACTACAAATTTAATCCAACATCTCAAGAAAAAATCAACTGAACAATGTGTTCAATACAAAATGTACACACCAGAGGCAGTCTAACGGCAGTTTAACATTGATCAGTTAGTATATAATTTCAATGAAACTCCATAAGCATTTAGTGAGATAATAATTTGTCATGTCAGTTAAAATTTAAGTATTACACTATTCTTTTATATATTAAAGATTCCCATCGTGAAAATTAGAATAACACCTATTAAAGCGAACAATAGTGTTGTTTTCGATTAGATCGTCGTTATCAGGTTTACTCTAATATACATGAATATTTATGATGAAAATGTTAAACCAATCAAGGCAGTTTGAGTGATAATCACAATGAAATGAAATAGAGATTACGTCACTACACACATAATAGGCAAAAGTAGTTTTATACTAGCAGAGCAAAAATGATCTGTTCAGTGGGTACTTTAAGTCAGGAGCTGCTATTTATCAAAAACGTACTGACCGAGATCGGCTACCCCAGCGCATTCATAAGGATGTATATGGTTGATGTAAAAAAGAAGTCAGTAATTTCGACCATCCGAAAGAAGCCATTATTTATTAAATTACAATTCAACGGAGATGTGGCCTGCGAAACTCTGCAGGTCGGATTAATGAGAGCAGTTAACAGAACATTCTACGCACCCAAACTTGGGTCGAGTTTCTTTAGTCGACCAGCGATGTCTACCCAAACGAAGGATAAGTTACGTGAGTTAGCCTCCTCTGTGTGCATTTACAAATTCCTGTGGAGATAGCTATATCGGGCGTACTTCCAGGCAACTTAACCAACGAATGACTGAACATCTCCCAGCATGGTTTAAGAAGGGTCAGTCAAAAATAATACACAGTTCGATCTTAGCACACCTGGTTGATAGTGGTCATATTGTAGATAAGTCTAGATCTTTTCAAGTGCTCTATCGTATACCTCCATCATTTTCCAACAGAGTTCGACCTCGTCTCCAACACATTGAAGAAGCCATAGGAATACGTACTTTCAACCCCAATTTATGTGTTCAGAAGAAGATCGTGACAACCCTATCTCTTCCGCGGCCGGATATGACGTAACTAACGATTGACATTATTATTTTATTTTTACACATTTGCTTATTACGTAATCGTTTTGATGTTTTTTGATGATTATTTGAATTCTATTCATCCCCGTTTGACCTACTATTGATAAAACTTTAGTTATCATTTTTATAATTTTCTTACTACTATCAATACACCTCTGTCTTCCTACTATCCACTTGTACTTTTGCCTATTATGTGTGTAGTGACGTAATCTCTATTTCATTTCATTGTGATTATGACTCAAATTGTCTTGATTGGTTTAACATTTTCATTATAAATATTCATGTACATTAGAAAGTAAAGCCTGATGACGATCTAATCGAAAACAATAATACTGTTCGCTTATATCTGTGTTGTACTTTTCCATATTCAAGAAGTCTGTAATATTATTAAGTGACTAGTTTTTACTCTCATCACTGTTTTTACACGCCTACTTTCTCCTTGATTAAGCTTATAGGAAGAAGGTATATCAAATCCCTTTTGAACCAAATCGAATTGAACGGATTGTCAGTCCCATCAATAAACATTAGAATACATGTTATCAGTGATAATAAAATTGGTCACTTACTTTGGAGAATGCAAATGCTTAACTTTGAAATATCGATCATATATAGAACAAAGATGATAAGAAGAGATTTGCATGAAACCAAATGACTTATTTGAAACATATTCAAAACTAATACTTCTGCGCAGTGTTATATATATATATATATATATATATATATATATATATATATATATTTATATGTTGATATGCATATATTCTCACGATGATATCAAAGTACTTCAGAGAAAATCACTTCGGATTCGTTCATAATTCTGTGAGCGTGTGAAATTACCGATAGTGTTTCAGTTATGAGAAATGTGAGTAAATACGTTTAAATCAACTTATTGTATAAGTTGTCTGTAACTAGGTTATCATATAAAAATATATACATAGAGCTTTTACTAGTCTTACAGGTAACTCATTAACTATTGTTTTGTGATTTCGCACACGAAACAGAAGGTCCTCAGTTAGATTGTAACGTGTAGCGTCGTGGATGTGAAAGACTGATGAGGTCCGTAATAGGATGAAACAGCCGTTGAGTTTCTCCAGGTTTCCAATCGTGTTCTAATTTCGATCAATTCGTAATTACGAAAATGAAAAACATACTTTGTATTACAAACTACTCATAAGTAGCCTGATTTGAATAAACGAAGAAATCAATAAATTCAGTGAAATATATGCGAAAGTAGTATTTCTGTCAAACTCATCGATGGAGAACGCAAAGTTTACTCATAGTTGACTGACTATCTTACTACCACACTTTCGGTTGCTTATTTTTATCTGTAAGAACTCAAATATTAAGAACTCCGAATGTGAAAACAAGATCACATAGATACCAACAACGTTATTCAGTTTGTTTTGTCCAGCGAACTTACTCAACCACATTGTTCTGACTAATTCGATAAACGATATCGATTTTTCTAAGATGGGTTTCTTCAGCGATTTTATCGACAAAAATCGATCGTAAGTGATGCTGCTACATTAGATGGAGACAATAATATACTCTTTAGATTGATGAGGCGACTAATCAGTAACACTGAGGTTTCTGAGGTTCATGTTTCCAAAACTATGCTGAGATCGCTATTCTGTCGATACACCCGCAACATGCTTACTCAGGCGCTTACAGTGAGACTTAGAGGTTGGCATTCAATAATAATAATAATAAAACAGTTAGACAGTGCGAAATTTTATTCATCAATATTTACTTTTTACAAACTCTACTCTTTCGATTTCAATATACATAAATCTAGCTTCTTACTTCGACTTCTCTTCTATCCACTTGACACTGCACAACTCTTCCTTTTTTTTGCTGTACTCCTTTATCTATGGGTTATATTCTTATACTCCCATAATTTAATTTAAGTGGTCATTATGAATTTTATCTTGACTTACTACTGTATTGACTACTTCAACATGACAGGTTAAGTAGTGCTTTGGTTATATATATACACTTGCCACACTGCTGCCTTTTTATCTCTCTTTTCTCCATTTTCAGAATCCTTGGTGACTCTAGGGAACATGCACCCTATGTATATGACTTTCTGGATCACAGCTCGTAATCAAGCGCGTTCCATTTGACCTTTCCCAACAAATTCGCCAAAGGAACCTATTGTGCACCTTCCTTATTTGTACTCTACTATTGAAAATGAGGCTGTATTATACTGTTTCTGTCAGTGACATGGTGTAAATATGCTATCAGAAACTGACTCTTATATCTAATTTAACTGCTA